TTTCAGTGCAATGTTAAACGGGAGCTATACAACTCTTCCTAAATAACAAACCAAAAACACACACACATACACAAACACAAAAAGAAAACAACATCAACAAAGAAATACAGTAAATATAATCTACAACATATGGTAAACATAGACTAGAACATGGAGGAGTTTGGAATGAAACAGGGAAATAAGAATGGTTTTATTAATCTAAATTCTTATCCACCAAAATCAATCATAATAATAAAGCTTAAAACATTATCCATAAAAAATCCAATAGTCCAGAGTGAGAGGCAAAAAATGTTTTAATGAAACAGATTTAAAACTTAAACATTTTAACTGATGGACTAAAATTAATTTTGGATGCAAGTTAAAATTGGGGCAGAGAATATTCTTTTTCACAACAGAATGCCAGCAAAAAGAATTAAAATTAATTTTGGATGAAAGTTAAAATTCGGGCAGGGAATATATTTTTTTGTGAAGAATGCCAGCAAAAGCAAGTATAAAGTGAGATTTTGAGATAGAAAGTTTTCAAAGTACAGACATAAATATAATAACTGACACAGGCAGGGGTGATTAATTGATGATAAAATGTTCAGAGGAAGATTGTTAGAATACAGGATATTGATACTATTTCAAACCGCTTTCCAAATTAATTATTAACAAGGTGTCTTTACAAGGGACAGATCTCCTAGACGCCTCCTTTACCAAGTGACCATCCTAGTATCACAACAATGGGGATGGACACACTGGGCCTTCTCTGCCTGCAGATGGACTGAGGTAGGAAGCTCACAGCATGGACTCTGCAGAGTTCCTGGCAAAAGGTTTACGCTGAATTTAATCATGAGGACATTTTCAGATAACTTCAGAATGTAGACCATTGAGCCACACAGCTGACCTGTCCTCTACAAACAAGTCCATGTCACCACCATCAATGACAATAACAAAAAGACGAGGAGATGTTTTGGGTTCAAAATGACTAAAAAGGCACAAACTACATAGTCTTTTTAGTCTTTTTGAGCCCAAAATGTCTCTTCTCCTTTTTGTTGTGTTCTTGGTGGTGACATGGACTGTTTGAAGGGGACAGGTCAGTTGTCCTGTTCAATGTTCTACATTCTGCAGTTGTCTGAGGGTTACCTCCTATGAAACTCAGGCTAAGCATTTTCAGCAAGAACATGGCATTGTTCATACTCTGCCCTGGCAGAGTCCCGGCTGACATGCAGTCTCCTGCCAGCAGCTCCTGACTCCTGTTCTCTACACGATGGGAATTGAGAGGAGCAGGGCTAAGGCCTGTGAATGTTGTTTGTCCATCTGGGCATTGGTCTCCCTAGGCATTGATCACAATTGGAGGGGGATGGACTGTGGCTTCTCAAATCAAAGGAGCGTAGTGGGTTAAAATCATCAAGAGTATTCTGTGTCTAAAATTCAATCCTCAGTGAAGGACCCCTGCAGTATTGTGTTTGGACTTGAACTTGCTTTGCTGTTTTTGTTTTTTTCATCAAGTGGAAAAGCTACTTTTTGTGACATCCTTTCATCCTTTGCATCCTTCCAGCAGTATTTGGTATCTGTAGGGGCGAGAGAGAAAAAATCAAATGAGCATTTTTGTCAGGTCCTCCCCGTGGTTGAGTCTGGAGAGACTTCTAAGTAGTGATATCTCAGGGGCAAACGGATCTCCTGCTGGGAGGATGAGCTGAAGGGTGAGCCCTGGGCTGGCTGAAGGGGGAAGCGCCAACCACAAGTGAGAACAAAACATTCCTGAACTTCCCTGAGCTTCCAGTAAGCCTTGGGTGCAGGATATAAGGACCCCACCTATGCACAACCAGCAGCAGGGAACATCAGCCCCTTTCCTCCTGATCCCCTCTGTCTGGAGTAGAGTGATGGCTTTTCCTCCCCGTGAGGATGTGCTCAGCATCAATGATGCCTGCCAAGAAACAGAGGGGAGCAGAAGGAGAGAACCTTCTGCAGAGAAACCCACCCCTTTACAACTCCCTGTCCTAGTCTTCTAGGGAGGAACGTGAAGGCCCTGGGAAGAACCCTGGGTGTGAGAAGCAGCAGAAACCTCAGACAATATCCACGTCCAGTTCCATCTTTTACAACAGAGGAGTGATGATGCCACAGGGGTAAGATTGAGCTAAGGCCACATGACTTGCTATTGACAACGCAGGAATCAGAATCCACCCACTAAGACCCTTTCAATAAAGATTGGAGAAAGCGAGAGGAAAGGCTCCAATCTGGACGTCTCAACAGTCATGAGAGGAGGTTGGGTCACCTTGGCAACTGCAGGAATAAGATTTTACAAATAAATATGATGTTGCTGCTGCTTCTTTGGTTGGTTAAAAAGAAAAAAAAAGATAATTATAAGTATTTGTCCAAAGGGGATCAGGAAAGAAAGGAAATTTTAAAAAAGAGACTAAAAATGGAGTTAGTAAAGAGAGAGCGGGGACTGTAACCATGGCCCAACTTATTTTCTCTAATGCCCTGAAGTTGATTCCACATCTGGTTCCACCTTAAGGCATCTCTGGAAATATTCTCAATATCTAGAACAAGAAAACTCTGAAGTACAAAGTGAAACGGATTAGTTTGTGTTTTACTACATTCTCCTCTACCACTTACTGTTTTCCTCAAGTACATTTTGGGAAAGGTTTCTTTTTAATATTTTATGCCAGTGTGAAGAGAGGCATTAAGAAGTATTCATATAAAATCTCTTGCAGAATTTCAGTCTTGGTTTGTTACTGTATTCTCTTCAGGAAAGTGAGACCAATGAGTTCTCTTTAGGGATTTTGCAGAAGGACAATAACTGACCAAAAGTAAAATTTTCACATTGCAGTGGTGAGCCCATGAGAGGGCTATAAAATGGGTGTGGGGAAATGTAAACTGGAAGTTTTCTTTTAAAATGCAAAAGAAAATACTAAATTCCACTATATGTAATGTGGGAGGTATTATTTCTGTACATTAGGTATTAATATAATGACTATTTCTTATCTTTTATTCAAAACTGAGCAAGTGTGCTTCAAGCAGAGGTTAAAAGTCTAATCTATTAATTTTCTTGTTTTTCCTATTGATTTTTTCTATGCTATACAAACAGTACTATTGAGAGGGGAATACAGATCCCATCAAAGGCTGATGGATACTCAGCCTTTTCTGTGGAGTAGCCACACATATGCGACACTTCCATGTTGGTAACCTGAGGTCATAGTAGACCAGGGGTCCTTGTCACCTTTAGCCACATATTAGAATCACATGGGAGCATTTTAAAACTACAGATGCTCAAACCACATCCCAGGCCATGTAAGTGAGAATCCCGAGGTGTGAGTTGAAGGGGTTCATCTTAATTGAAATCTCACCAGGTGCTTATTAAATGGCAGCAGGAATGTAGAGATACTAAATGGACCAGCCCAATTTCCCATCATTTTCTTCCCTTTCCCCATTTATCTCATGATTGGCTTTGTTCCCAGTGGTTCCATGGATTGTAGCCTTCTCCCTGACAATTTCAGTTCAATCTCTCTCTTATCAACAGGGCTGGGCCAAAGCAAACATTGTCCTGTAGACAGATTCCTGTCTGTCATCTTGCGTATGCATAAAGCTGGTCCTGGAGTCACTTTTCTCAAAGTTAATTCATAAAATGCTCTCTCATATACACTGGCCTCAAGATGTATCTGACTTGCATTTTAGACCCTTAACTGGAGTTATAGAAGTGGAAATGAGAATAAAAAGGAGAGAGGTTGCAATGATGAACCTCATGATGTATGCAGTTTTGAAGTCCTGCCCTCTGCATGTACTTTTGGAGTGATGTCCCTTTAGAATGTCATAAATGTTCTCCAGTTAACGTCAGCTCAAGCGAGTCCATGAGGTGAGAACACTGAGACCCTGGCAACCCCATCCACGTTGGCACTAGGCTGCACATCTGGGGCTAAAGACAAACCTGACTCCAGGCCAGTAGGGAACCCCCACCCGTGACTGTGGTTCTAATTTAGTTTCCTAAGTGGGGCTCTTTGTGCTTAGTTTTAACACTTCCCATTCAGAGGAACAAGTGATGATTGAGAGTTGACTTGGTTGGGTTGCTCAAAGAAGATTCAAGGGGGAAATCGATGTGTAAATGATGTATTAAAGCAATGATTTCTGCAGAAAGAGGCAATGGAGTTGGGGATGCAGAGAGGAAAGTTAAATTTCCCAAGAGAGTGTGTGATTCCAGGCAAACGTCCTTGTGTTCAGCAGCTTAACCTATGCACTTGGATGAGGACAAGGAGGCCTGGCTCTCCTGTGTCCATGAGAGGGACTCTCAAGACATTAAAGAAGGAATAGAGCAGAGTTCAGAGAGCAAAGAGGACATGGGGGTAGAAAGGGCTTGTCAGGGTGGGAACCCAGGGGACACAGAGGTAACACCAGACAGAGGTTACAGTTGCTGTTGGAGAGAACAAATGGAAGAGAAAAAGCAGTGGGAGAATGAGCTGTCACCATAGACAGAGAAATAAGGAGTGCAGCTATCAGCCATAGATGTGATTACCTCTGCACCCTAAGCTTGCAGGCCAGGGAATCTGCATGCCAGTCTCCACTTGCTGAATGAGAATTTTCTTTTGATGATCTTTGGTTTCAGGACACTGGAGGCGTGAATGTGGCCAATGACTTGACACCCTTGTGTGTTGTCTGCTGAGCCTTCAAGTGCATCATCTTCCAGCTGGGGAGGGTTCTTCATCCCCAGGGAGGGCTCCAAAATGAGCTCTGAAAATAAAACCACAGCCAATGGGATCCACTGGCACCCACGATCTTACTGTGACTTTCTCTTCCACCCAGAGGACATCAAATCAAGAAAGGGGCCATGGACAAGAAAGTCCAAAGAGTGAGGGGAAGCCAATAGAGTCACTTTAATGTTTTCTTTTTGTTTATCTTTCCTACATTGCTCAGTAATGACAAGATTGCCAGGAGCCACAGGCACTGCCAATTCCAGCAATATTCAAGAAACACAAGATTAAGAAACACAAATAGCTTCCAGGTAGATAAGGCAAAGGCAAGGATATAAAACTCTATGTAGGCTATGCTTTGGGGAGAGCTGAGATTATAAAAATCAAAGTTAAATCAGAGCTGTGTTGAAACAGGAGATGGGAATGGAAGGGCCTGGCAGGGTGGCAGCCCATGTGGCACCGAGGTGAGATCAGACAGAGGTGACAGCAGGTGATGAGAGAAAAGAACCAGGAAGACTAAACCTAGAGAATTTATAAAAGTTGCATCATTATACGATCTGCTACATATATATACACCCTATATAGCATACACACCAGATATACATAATCACACATAATAGGACAAATGATATAAATGCATATATCTGTACATGTTAATTTAGAGAAAAAATATTATATAGGGATTTGGGAGAGATTGAATGTAACAGTATCGTCACTATTCAGGTCCATTGAAATGGGGAAAAAAATAGCAACATGAGAAGAATGAGAAAGAAAAGGTGTGGGAGAAACAAATGACTTGGTAGACAGCGGGGAGAAATCACCAGGTGAAGGAAAATATTAATGAAACAAAAGGCATTCACTCTATCCTCTTACCTGGGACCTGGTTCAGGCTCTGGACTCCAGGGAAAGTGAGCAACAGGGAGTGTGTCTGAGCCAGTGGGGTGAGTCTTGGCTGGGGGTGTGAGAATCCACAGAGAAGCAAAGGAGAGTCCAGTGGGAAGAAATCAGTTTAAATAAGTTTTCACGGCATGTGTCAGGGACTGTGCATCCCCCGACACTCCCTGAGCGCCTTCCATGTGTCCTCTCCTCGGACCCAGATGGTGCTCGTTATCTTACCCAACCCTTCCTCCTCTTGAGGACAGGGGTCCCCTCATTCCTCAGCGAGGGCATTGCCTGACAGATGAGCACCAGGCAGCCCCAGGGGCTCCAGGAGGAGATACTGAGTGGGAAGAGAGTGAGAATGAACACGACCCAGGGTTTTAAGGAAATCTGAGCACAAGTGGATCCCTGTGAGACAGAAACTGAGGACATAGCCATGGACATGAGTGGAGAATTTGAACTAAATGGAATTTCATAAAACAGACTGATGTGAACACTTTCCATGTGAAAGTTGCCCTTTTATTTCCAAAAAAAAAAAAAGCAGAAGAAAAAGCAGAGGAAGCTGGACATGTCAGGAGAGTGAGTGTGGGCCGAGGATTTGCACTGTTACTCAATGTGCCTCATAGGTTGTTAGGGAAAGTGCCTGATAGGGGAAAATTGGCTTCATGAGGGATGGGGAAGGAGAGGAAGAAAACTAGCAGAGGAGTCTGTGTGAGAAAGGAAAGGAAGAGGGGCCCTAGAAAGCAGAGATCTTCATAACTGCTCTGCCTCAGAGGAGACATCATCCGTGAAGTCACTTTCTAAGTGTAAATTGAGCAGAAAGATAAAAGGATTAGATAACACCTATTCATAGGTTTATGGGGCAATTCTTATGGAATCAGACCCTTCAGAAATTATAATAATAAATATTCCCAACAATGATTGCAGGTAGATATAATTTTTCAGGTATCTCAGATGAGGGAACAGAGATGTAAATAGCAAAAAGACAAAAACCTTGGCCAAAGTCAACAAGCAGAAAGTGGCAAACCCAGAACCTGAGAGCAGATTTGGTTCTAAGCCCCAGGCCTTTGCTCATCTCACTGGGTTGGAGCATCATGAATTTCAACTTGACCCTGAGGAAGCACAGAGTGGTCCCATTCTCTCCTGCACCCACAGCACCATGACCACCAACACCTGGATGAGAGCTTCATGACTGTGTTTCTTTCCCTACCTTGGAAGGGCCGGTGGTTCCCAGAATCAGCATTGGCTGAGAAGCTGTAGGTGGTGGAGGAAAGGCCCCACCTGGCCAAGCAATTCCCACAGTGGAACCCTTGATCCACCTGTAGTCGCAGACATTTGGGCACTAGGGTGCTTGGTTCCAGCTGTGCCTGTGAAGCCTGCACCTCTGACAGGTGGTGGCTCAGGTCTCCACTCCAAGTTCCTTGGGGACAGGCCACCTTGGTGGGAGCTGAAAGGAGAAGGGGCTTCAGTAGAAACAATCTGAGTTTTCCCTTTGTTAAGCATGCCCAGAACATGCATCCCTGATGTCCCTGCTTTCAGTAAAGCCACCCAGTGACCCACGCCACACAGACAGACATCATGTCAGTGCAGGCGACGTCACCTTTCCTGTGTCTGGGGACACTGACACAGCAGGGGCCCAGGCTGGGGTGTCCCTGAAGTGAAAAACCTCTGCTTCAGTCCAGTGGGCTTTGGATCGTCTAACAAGACCATCTCGATTATTCTGTTATTATTCATCTCTTTCCTGTGCCTAGAGGGAAAGTTCTAGAGAGCCCTCAGAGCACAGGAGAGGAGGAGCTGTTTTTCTCCATACACAGGGTTGTAAGAACAGGCCAAGAGTTCGAGGTGCAAGGGTTTGAGAAAGAACCACGAGAAAGGGGGCTGGGATGCTGCAGACCAAACACTAAGTGAGGCAAAATTTCTGGGTTCTGGGGCATTTTGAATTTCCCATTGCCTATAATGGTTTGACCCCCTGCCCACACATATCCATCCTATTGCCATATAGTGGGTGTCAGCAGACAGAGGCAATGTAGGAGAGGGACCAGTCCCTTCCCAGAAATTCAGGGGCCACAAGAGCCACAGATCAGCATGTGCGGTTCCTTAGGAAGGTAACAGAGGACACGATCCTCACATTACCCACTGCTCCAGTGGCGTTCGGGTGGCACCCCTTAAACAAATTCTTTCCATTTCCACAGGGAGAGGAATACACATTCTGAGTGGATTAAGAAAAGACTTCCAATGACCTCATGCAAGTCCAGGTCGGGCTCAGGATGGGGACGGGGCCTGCAGGGCCGGATCCACGTTGCTGTGGGGTCCTCTCTCTCCTCCCCTCTCCACATCCTCATTCTCTGCAAGGTTTTCTAAGTTTTCTTAAATATGCCTCAGTGACCTCAGCTCCAACATGGAGATGCCACTGCCCACTCACAAGTGTCCCTTGAGTCCTGAATGGGTTATAGCAGGACAGAGCTTGCTTGCAAAGGGGCAGGGCATACAGCAGGTGCAAGGACAGTGTGTATTTTAATTGTCTCATGAATCACTGTGATCCTAGAAAAGCATTTGCTATTTTGAAACTCAAATGCAAAATGGGAAAGGGGATGGTCCCAGTATGAAAGGCACTTACTGATCAAAATAGAATAGAGGCCAACATTTTTGTTGCTATTTTCTTTCTTTGTGTGTGTGTGCCTGTGTGTGTGTGTGTGTTTGTGACACGGGGTCTCACTTTGTTGCTCAGGCTGGAGTGCAGTGGTGCAATTGTGGCTCACTGCAGCCTCAACTAACTAGGCTCAGGTGATCCTTCCACCTCAGCCACCCAAGAAGCTGGGACTACAGGTGTGTACCACCATGCCCTGCTAAATTTTTGTAGAGACAGGGTTTCACCATGTTACCCATGCTGGTTTCAAACTCCTGAGCTCAGGAGATCCATCTCCTTGGCCTCCCAAAGTGCTGGAATTACAGGCGTGAATCACTACACCTGGCATTTTTGCTAATTTCATTACAACATAATTCAATATACTGAGGGACAACACAGAGTTACTTGCTCTCACAAGAAGACAATGTAATGGGTAAAACCCCCAAAAATCTACATGAAATTCCCAGAATAGAAGTTAAAAAAAAGAGAGAGAATGAGCAAGAAGAAATGAAAACTGGATTTTGTTTTTACACATCCTGTGGAGCTGCTATCTCAAGGGGCACTTGCTCAGAGGAAGGGTTTTCTGGACGTCGTGGGGACAGGAACCACTCTGCTTTGCTCATCGGTTACGCCAGAACCTCCTGAGGGACACTAGTTGTAGATGGTTTTCATGAGAATATAGCACTGAGACCAAAACTTGATTGAAACTAGAAACCCACACGTGGAGAAAACCACTGGAGCTCTGCAGAGGATGCAAGCCTGACACGCATAGAGGAAGGGACGCTGGACTGCGTCAGTGGAGGGAAGACCCCTCAGAAGTAGAGCCGCAGTCCCCAACCTTTTTGGCACCAGGGTCTGGTTTCATGGAAGACAGTTTTTCAGGGACCAGGTTAGGGGGAATGGTTTTGGGATGATTCAGGCACATTATATTTACTGTGCACTTTATTTCTATAAATATTACATTGTAATATATAATGAAACAATTATACAACTCACCATAATGTAGAATCAGTGGGAGCCCTAAGCTCATTTTCCTGCAACTAGGTGGTCTCATCTGGGGGTGACAGTCACTGGGAGCCAGTGACAGATCATCAGGCATTAGATTCTCATAAGGAAAGCACAATCCAGATTCCTGGCATGTGCACTTCACAATAGGGTTTGACCTCCTGTGAGAATTTAATACCCCTGCTGATCTGACAGGAGGTGGAATCCAGGCTGAAAAGCTCTCCCAACGCTCACCTCCTGCTCTGCGGCCCAGTTCCTAACAGGTCATGGACCCATAATGGCCCACGGCCCTATGGCTGGGGATCCCTGAAGAAGAGAAACTAGCTTGGGACACAGGAATCATGAAACAGGCCTCCAAATAATCGGGAAAAACTCCCAGCATAGGTGGATGGCCAGAGAAGAGATAAGGGCATGTAGTTAGCAACATAATTTCAGAAAAGACAGATGCCCTATCTTAAAGAAGGAAGTCTGTTATATAAATTTCTCCAACAGAGCTACTATGGCCAAGAGTTTGCAATAAGCCCTCATCACACCCCTCTCTGGCCTGTTTTGACAGCCACAGCCTGCTCTTGTGAGAAGGAGCCAGGTGACAGAGGAGGCACTTGGGACAGGAAAAGAAGATGTTTTACCCAGTGGATGTCTGTCCTTAAAACTGGATCCAAGAGCCAAATTCAAAACAGGCTCAGTGTATACGGCCTGCCTGCAGAGATGGTCTGTCTGAGTTGCACAAGTTGCAGAAACAAAACATACAGAGGCTGCCTGGGAGGACAGCGAAGGTTTGTGACCTCCAGGCTGGAGTACTCACAGGCTATACCCAGAGAAGTGCAGGCGAGTTGATCCTCCAATGAGGACAAGGTGCTGCTATAAGGCTGGTGGCAGTCAGATAGGTCACGGTCAACTAAAGGAGTCAAGTAAACTTCATCCATGGAGTCCTCTGGAATTTCCTCCTCCTTTACCTCTGGCAGCTCCTGGCTGAGCCTGGAGTAAAGAAGACAGAAGATAAACACCAGAGAGAACCAACACCACTGCGCCCAGCTGGTTCTATAGGGAGGCCCTCAGGAAGGCCCAGAGGAAGCAAAGTACAGTCCCCTCAGAGAGATACAACCATGCTTCCATGTCTGAAGCAGGAGACAGAGTGTGACAGGCTCTCAGTATACTGGGCAGGCAGTGATCTGGGGAGGAAGGTAATGGAGTGATCCCTGTGGGAAACTGCCAGGACACAGTGCATTGGGTACTTTTGCATACATTTTGTTGAAATTAGTATCAGTAGCCAAATGAATACAGACTCTTGAGTCTTCCCAGACAGAGTTCCTGTATCCTCAACATCTCTTGCTCTCAACATTGTAGCATGACAGAGTTATTTTCATTCACTTTCATGCTGTCAAATACTTGTAAACATGGTAATGCCAAAAAGGCAGACATCAGATTTGCAGCTCAACTTCACTTAAGCAAAAAGGACAGAAAAGGGAACTGAAGAAAATGTCTGTGATTGATCAGTTCAATAGAATCAACTGAATGCAGATTAGAAGAATTGAAAGGAATTAATAAGGAAGAAATACAAATACAGGTGTACAATGAAAAGAGTCAACCTTATGAATATGGCTATTTCATGGTTGGCTGAACAGATGGAGCAGGTATATTCTGTACACTCTGACTTTCCCTGCATCTGAGACTCCTCATATCAACACTGAATTAACTGTCCATGATTCCTCAGAGTTACCTGGGGCACGGCGGGTCTTGATCTTCTAGCTCCTCTTGATCCTTTTCAGTTTCTGCAAATAAAGTCAGACAGAGACAGATACATTAAGCAGGTTCCCTACACACACAAACAATCCACTGTGCAGTCCTAACATAGGAACATCAGCTTCCTCAGTGGGAGAACAGGACAATGTGAGAGAAATATTCCAGGAGGCCTGAGGTCCTGTCATGAGAGAGATGCCCTGGTTTTCTTCCCTGAGCATGGGAATGAAATCTCCCTGTTCTGGTAGATCATTATCCCAACATCAACCGTCCTGATTTTGTGCAAATAGTTATGCAATTTTTTCACACCAATTCAAGGCAAACACCCCAACTGCTTTCTAGAAGGAAAACTACACTATTCAGCCTTCAGTCATCAAATACCCACATTGTTCAAGGTTGCAAGGAGTTTAGACACTGAAATTAGAATGAAGGAGAGAACATACAGACCCTGCAATCAAAATGAATCTTTGGTACTACAAAGAGACATTGTCTATTCGTGACATCTAGGAGTGACAAGGCCCAGTCTTGTTTCTAGAAACGTAACAAAAGCAAATATACTGCTCACCTAAAACAGGCCAACATCAGAGACACAGACAATGAGACTAGGTTCTTTGAAATGTGGGTAATATCTTTACCAAAACATAGACAAAGATGCCACAGGCCTTGGGCAGGGGTAGAATCTCATAGGACTTGGTTGGGGAAAGAAATTTGTAAGGAACACAATAGCTGGCAAGACGAATCTTATTCAGATTAAGAGGCCTGACAGATACCTGTTGGGCACGTGCTACGTAGGTTGGTGTGAATTTGTCAATGTCGTGGCAGTGGCCCAGGGTGACACAGGCATGGTCTGAGATGAGGAGGAGAGCAAAGCTCACTGACCCACCCCATGTCTGTGCTTCCAACTTGATTTTCGATTCTGATGCAAATCATCCTGTTTCTGTGAGTCCTGCTCACACTAATGACACGTCTCTGTCCAGCCAGGGGTGAAAGGAATTCGAACTCTACCTGGGATACCAATTGGAGATTTATCGTGTTCACAATGGGGTACTCACTGTCTACAAGAGCCAAGCTGACTTGCTTTTCTTCAAAATAGTACAAAGTGCTCCAATAAGGGTGGTAGGAGTGAGGTAGGTCAGAAAGGATGGAAGGAGTCAAGCAACATCCATCCAGTGACTCCTGGGGGACTTCACACTTGTCCCCCCTCAGCGGTCCCCTGCTGAGCCTGTAAGGTAGGAAGGAGTAAGGATTAATCCAAGGAGTTTCAGAGCCCTGCTGGATTCACGTGAGGCAGGAGGGAGTGATGGCAGAAAACAAATGGGGCAGCCCATTAAAGAGTTCAATATTCTTCTCTTCTTGGTGGGTCACAGTGTGGTTGCCATGGGGTAGGTTGCAATACAGAGAGAGGGAAAGAGAGAAGAGAGAGAGAGAGAAGCAACAGGAACTCAGCGAAGTGGCCAGATCACGATTTTCTGAGGAAGGAGACTGAGTCTCTCTGTATGGTACAGTCGTGACTTACTGAATATCATGTTCCATAATTGTGGCTTCATTACTTTCTTTTAAATGGTATTAAATTTTATGTGTAGTGACCAGGTAAACATAGCATTTGAGGCATAATAATGTTCCCAAAATGTCATGCCATCAAGTCCTTCTTCTCTCATTACTATGTGTGGTATAATAATAATTTTTTTCTACCTAATTTCCTTGCCTTGAAATGCTTAGCACTGTGTTAATGCAAAGCCAGCAGAAAGCAGATATGCATCTCAGGCTGGTTGAAAACATAAGAAGTTAGCTGCTTTACGGAAATCTCTGGGACTGTTTAGTTGTTCAGAAGATCAACTGGTTTTATGTACTGAACCTGAGAAGTTAATGCGAAATGGCCAACGATGCAAGTATCACAATGAAAATGTAAAACATGGTTAGAAAGGATCATTTCTGGTTGGATGAAGGGATTAATTTGGTATATTCAGGACTTTCTGGGTTTCTGTGGATATGAGTTCCAAAGGTATCACCCCTGAATTGAGAGCCCCTGATTTTTTTTAATTACCTGGGATCAACTGTTTCTTTTCCTTTCACCTCTTCAAGATTATTTTGCTTTTCTGCAAGTAAATTAAGAAAAGACCAGTCACATGAACTTGATCCCATTCAAACATGCACGACCTTGTGTGCAAACCTACCTAGGGGTATAAATAAACTCGGTGTGATAACAGGCTATTGTGAGAGAAATTTTCCAGGAGGCCTCAGGGTGAGCCTTGTGAGAAGTCACTAGGTTTGCTTTCCTGAGCCATGGAGCAAATCTCCCTGATACGACAGGTCATCATCACAGTCCCTTCTGTCCTGAGTCACAGCAAAATGTTAACCATATCCTATTTACTGACAGATCCCGGAAATCTACTTAAATGCTTCCTAGCAGGTTACTGCAGTATTCAGTATGTTTCCATCTGATAACATGTTTTTGGTGTTTTTGTAGAATGTACATTTAGAGGGATAGATTAAATAAAATGATTCTCTAACGCTACATGGAAACATAGGCCTTTAATGAGGCAGGGAGTTCCAGGGCCCAGCCTCCTTTCAGAAACATACCAAATCTAATAGTGGTGTCATGTTCTGGTACTCAGAGACTTCTTAGCTAAGACAAGCCTGCTAAAAGGGGAGGGAGTTTAGCCTGAGAGAAGTGAACGATGGTAATGACAGGATATACATAAGGCTGCCAGTGACCTTGGACAGGCAGAGAAACTCAGGTTGTTTGGGAGGGAAAATTAGAAGATTTCACGTGAGATGACAGATGAAATCTAAATCAGGAGGACTGGTGGTTACATCCTGCACCCAGGCTGCAGAGGTGGGTATGAATTTGTCAGGTCAACTTTGGGTACAGTGATTTGCCAATGGGGCAAAGATGAAAGACAATATGTGGTTTTGGAGGAGGATGGAGCACAACTCTGACTCCTAGGATGCCTTCCTACAAACTTAATCCTAAAGCCTGGTTCTAACTGGTATATAAGCATCGTGTCTTCCTGAAGGTATGACATCTATCATTATGGACAGATTGTGGGGTGCAAAGAATAGGGAGTCTACCTAAGAAGCTAAGTGGCGTTTCATCCTGTTTGGAATTGAAGTAATCCCTGGCAACATCCTGAGCAGAGCAAACTTTCTCTTCATCCAGTGCCGAGAAAGTGACTTCATGATGCAGGTAAGAGTTGGATATATCATGGTGTCTAGAATGAGAAAAAACACATTCCTCTGTTAAGTCCTGCAGGACTCCCTTCTCTTCAGACTCCTGCAGCTTCCTGATGAGCCGGGTAGGATAGGAACAACAGCAGATTAGATCAAGACAGACTCAACACCACAGCATGTCATGTGATTTGATGGGACACAAAGGGAGTGGCCACAGAAAGCAAAGGGGGCATCTCCTCCAAGAGAGAAAACCCATCCTTCTAAATGTGGGGTGGATGTGACTGTCCTGGGGACAGAGCAACGCGAGCAGCAGATGCTCAGTGCACTTGCCCCAAACGAGCTGCTGCAGGAAACCCAGACTCTCCCGGTAAACTAGAAGCATGACTTGCCTCAGAGAGATCTAACATGGGGCTTCACTTCCTTCACAAAAATTGTGGTGACATTTACATGCAGTATCCAAGTGACCAGAGCTCTTGGGGCATTCCAGACACACAGATGCTGCTTTATGGTCCCCCTTTTTCAATATTTTGACATCATATGAAATTTTTATTTTTAATTTTCTCTCTTTCAACTAAGTAGTTGCCAACATGCTGACACAAAACACACAGAAATCATATATGCATCTCACTCTAGATTAACCACATGGGAAACCACAGGTGAGATCAGGAAATCCCTGAGTTTAATCTGTTCACCTGGCTCAACTGACTGTCTGTTCCTATGCTTGAGAGGGATTAAGAAATTGAAACCTATTCAAGTACCACAATAAAGAAGACAACATTGTTAAAGGAGTAATTTGCAGTTGGATGAATGGAGGAGAGAATTCGTCGCTTCCTATTTTCCCTGGATCCGTGGTGTCCAGGTGTCTCTATTGAACTAACAATCCACAAATCCACAGTTACCTGGGGAGCACTGGTGCTTTCCCCTCGTCTTCCTCATGATCATTCTGATTTTCTGTAAACAAATTCAGAAGAGCAGGTCACAGTAAGGAAATCACACATCACACAAGATGAAATCAGTGTCCAGTGATAGCACAAGAACATAAATACCCTCAGTGTAAGAATGTGACATTTTGACAGGAAGGTTCTAAGGTGCCCTACATTAAGTGTCAGAAGTAGATGAGCCTTCTTTCCATACCCATGAAACAAAATCTCCCTCGTCTGGCAGATCATAATTACCTCTCCTCTGACCTAAGTCTGCGCCAACAGTTAAACAAAACTTTTCTCACAAGAATTCAAAAATTGCCCTTACTACTCTCCAGAAGTGTTGTTGCAATACTGATTTATCTCATCATATATCATGGTCAATGAATGGTTAGAGAAATTTATATAGGAGACTGAACTGATGGATAAATTCTAACAACCCTTGCATAAAAAAGAGTCTGCGATGCTACACAGAAACATAGGCCACTCATGGGGTGAAGAACTCAGGGCTCAGCCTTGTTTAGGGAAACTTATAAGCAAGATAAAGGTAGAGGTGTTTATGTCCTGCTTTCAAGGTGACTGCTTAACTGGGACAAGCTGACCTAAAGGAGACCCAGCCTCGGTCTGAGAACAGTGAATCCAGAGAAACAACAGCTCCAAATACACAGGCGAGACTGTTAGTGGCCTGTACAGGCATAGAAAGTCCATGGACATTGTTCAGGGACACTAATCATTATTGCATGTGACAAGAGACATAGGAACCGAGCCAGGAGGCCTGACAGCTACCTCCTGTACACAGATGGCTATGACTTTGTCACACCTGACTGTGGTCCAATATGCTGACATTGGGGCCAGGAAGACAAAGTCATGTTATGGGACAAGGAGATGAGGAAAGGTCTCTGACTCTCAGATAACTGTGTGCAATATTCCATCATAGTTCCTTCCTTCCTTCCTTCCTTTCTTTTTCTTTCTTTCTTTCTTTTCTTTACTTCCTTCCTTCTTTCCTTCCTCCTTCCTTCCTTCCTTCCTTCCTTCCTTCCTTCCTTCCTTCCTTCCTTCCTTCCTTCTCTCTTTCTCTGTCTTTCTTTATTTTTCTTTTTTTCGAGACACGGCCTCTGTCTGTCACTCAGGCTGGAGTACAGTGGTGCAATTATGACTCACTGCAGCCTCTGCCTCCTGGGTTCAGGTGACTCCCCTGTCAGCCACCGAGGTATTTCCAATGGCAGGCACGTACCACCATGCCTGGCTAATTTTTCATATTCTGTGTAAAGATGGGTTTCACCACATTTCCCAAGCTGCTCTTGAATTCCTGAACTTAAGTGACCCACCCACCTAGGCCTCACGAAGTGCTGGGATTACAGCCATGAGCCACTGCACCCAGCTCTGTCTTAGTATGTAAATCAAACCAATATGTATGTATGCAGCCTGTCCTCAGAATTGATCTTCCTCAGCCTAGACAGAGGCAGGAAGGACAAAGAATAGAGAGGCTACCTGGGAGAATGTTTAGAGCTTCCTTCTCTTCATCATGAGAGGGTTCATTCTCTACAACCAGAGCAGAGTCGACTTTGTCTTCCTCAGATGTGATTTTGGTGCTCCTGTGAGGCTGGTTGGAGTCAGATGGGTCGTGACTATTTGAACAAGTGACAGCACATTCCTCCAGTGAGTCCTGAGGGACTTCCTTTCCTTCAGCCATCTGCACCTCCCTGATGTGTCCGGTGGGATAGAAATGACAGAAGATTAAACCAAAAGGCATTGGACCCCAGGAAGTCCTACTGGTTTTGACAGGAGGCATAAGAGAGTGGTCTCAGAAAGCAAAGGGGAGTTTCCCTTTAAGAAGGAACAGACAATCCTCTCCTCTCTGCAACAGAGCAGAGAAAACCAGAGAGGAAACAGTGGCTGGTGATCACTGCACTGGGTAGGTAGGAGCTGAGGACGGAGACTCAGCTGTCTCTGTATGGTACAGTCTTGAGAGCACACACAGAGAACTAAAAACAGCTGCCACACAGTGTGTCTAACCTGGGTTGTAGTTAACACATGGTGGCCATGGGAATACAGGCCTTTGAGCCATTGTAGACTCCAGAGATGGTGTGCCTTCTATTTTTTTTTTTTAAATTTTAATATTGTGCTGCGAAATGTAAACTTTTTGTCTAGGTGCTTTTCTTTGTGTTCAACTTTGCTAGGTACTTCCTAATTCCTCTGCTTGTTGCCTCTCTGCTATTTATCTTTCCTTAAAAGAACATAAAGACAACTGTGTAGAAAGCAGCTTTGCACCTCCTCCTGGCTTTCACTGCAGGGGAGAACAGGTCTCCTCTGTGTGTGCAGGAAGTCGCTTGGGCTGTGAGTTCATCTAGGGTCATGCTTAGAGGTACCATGAAGACAATGGACAAGCATGTTAACAGGGCTATTTCTTGCTGGGTCAGTGGATGGAATCAGTGGACTCTGCAGCTTTATTTATCCTGCATCTGGAATCTGTGACTACCTTCACCCACCTTGGGTTCTTTCTGAGACTCTTTTCATGTTTTACCACCCATTACTTGCTCCTGATTATACAGTGTTACCTGGGGGCAGATGATTTCTGTACTTTCTCAACCTCCTCATCTTTCTCATCTTCATCCTCATCTTCATCATTCTCTGCAAATACAGAAGTGTCCATTCAGATATTTCCCACTTCACCTATGCAAGCACAGTGAGCCCTATGTGCACGGAGACATGAACATCTATATGTATGAGTCTGCACTGTACTGAAAGCTCTCATGTTTTATCTTTAAGAAAATGCCCTGGAATGGTTTCCTGATGCATGAGGCAATGCGTTTCTGATCTGCAGGGTCACCATCAAGATGTGGCCAAATATTGAAAAGACCTTTCCTCTTCATATCACTGAAGACTTGTCCAGTCTCTCTCTCAACTTCAGCAGCTGTCTCCCCAATCCTGCCACAGATCTGATTCCCAGGCACGGGCTCTGTGTCCTGTCACAGCTCACATTTAGAACCTGTATCTTTCTCTTAGAACACGACAAACAGCCTTGTCCCACAATACTCCATACATCAGGGACTTCATGGGCCCTTCAGGTGTCTTACACTTCGTTATCTAGGGACATTGTCTCCATGGGGAGTGCTCCAGCCTAAGCCACTTCCTACCACCAAATGCCAGCACTTCAAGTGCCTTCTCCAACAGCACACAGCGAGGGGCTTTATCTCATGTGAAATATAGTCATAAGTGTTCCCATATTTGAATGCCAGAGACAATTTGTTTGCCTTCACAGAATCAGACATAGAAACCCAGGAAGGATAAATTAATCAGTTGGCCACAGTTGCTAAAGACATTGCCGAAGAGAGAGCCTGGGAACCTTCACTCTTAGGCCGGGCTCTTTTCACTCTAACAAGCTGCCTCCTGTCACAGCCTCCTTCCAGTCCTTTAAAACTGGACAAATGCTGCCTCTTGCTCCAAAGACCACGTTCCATCAAGAAAGGAGGAGACCTTTGCAATACCGTGACCTCCAGCCCCATGGGTTTCCCATCTCTGTTTTTACACAGGAAGTTATGGTCATGTCACGCCCACAGATGTTTACTGGAAAGATACACTACCCATAAAATTGTCATTGTGGAGGTTTGGAGGTCTGGGGACTTCCATAAGCCTAGAGCTGTGTGTCATCAGGGCCCGTGGCCACCTCACCTGGGCTCAGCTTCTGGAGAAGGCGCTCTGCCAGCCAGCGCCCCTCAGCCAGCTGCTCTCGGAGATCCTGACCGTGGGACTTGTCAAGGTCATCAGGAGTGAGGAGGGCCTTGAAATGCTGATTCAGTGAGCGGGAGGCATCTCTCCCTTCCTGTAACTTCTCCCGTAACTGGGTCAGCTCTCGTGCCTGAGAGTGAACCAGGGCTTTATATTGCCTAAGGTGAGATAGTAGAGAACATTTAATAATGGAAAGGGATGAGTGATCAGTTCTAACATTGCAACAGAGGTTTCTGTGAGAATGTCCTCAAGGAGCCTTCCAAGCAGAAGGTCAGCACATATTTGGGGAAATGCCTTTGGCCAAGAGAAAAATAAAATAAAATATATATATATGTTTTTAAGTTATACATATGTATATATTTTTAAAGGCTTCCTCTATATAAGAGAGTGCTCCTGTAAGATCCTCCATGATGTTCCATTCATCTTTCTTTTCTGTAAACAAAAGCTGGTGTCTTCCTAGATCAGTTCCAAAAGAATGTCCTTTCAGTTCTTCACTTTGGCCATGGACATTTCTATATGGAAATTCACACAGTGCATCTTGCAGTGACTCGAACTAAAGCCATGCACAGAAATGTGACCAGGTGCAAATGGGGTGGATTTGAAAGATGTAGGAAGAAAAAAAGGACAGGGTCAAGAAGGCAACATTGATTGAACGAATGACATGCGGCAGTCAGGAGGTGATTCTAACTAAGAGTAAATGGGGTGGTGATCACACACCATTTTAGTGTGCTAAATGCTGCTGGGTGGTTCACTTTCTTTTGCATAACTTTGGTTATGCAAATTTCACCTCAACAATGCCTTGTTTTAAAAAGAGAAAATAAGGTTCAAGAAACAACTGCAACCCATAACTTACTAAGATGACTGTTCTCTATTTTATAAATATTTGTGTGACATATGCCTGCCATGTAAATGCCTGCCCTTGTCCTGGCCCAGCTTAGCTCTTAGTTCTCCCAGCTGAGTTGCTGCACTTCAGAGATTCACACCCCTGCCCATCTCCCTGCCCCCAACGGGGCCTACTCACCCAAGCTCCTCAGCTTGTCTGAGCTTCTCTGCCAGCTTCTCCACGAACTGCAGTTCATCCCTCAGCACAGAGTCTATGATGTCTTTGTACTCTTCACACTCTGAGAAAAGACAGACACACCTGCCTCAGTGCAAGGCTGAACAAGCTGCTGGGATCACTGCCTACAGGGCAGGTGGCAGCATCCATCCCAAGGATGAAAGCAGCCCCAGTACCAGGCTCTAGGCAGGCATTTCCACATCTTTAGTTATCAACCTCCCAACTTTCTGGCATCTGATACTCTCCAACTTAGAGATGGGGACAAAAAAACTCAAGGGCACATCAAGTAACTTGACAAGATGATTCACCTGGAACAAGGCAGAGTCAGAATTCACAGCCCCTGAGGTCTGACTCTGAATCTTGGGACACTTTCCCAAGCCTTGCAGCCTCTCCTGTAAAACACTGTGCTGGGGCATGAAGTAATAATATCCTGCACAGTCGGAAAGACCCTTAGCACTATGGGACTCACGGTTTCCCTGGTACTGGAAATTTTAAGCAGAAGTATGTCAAATATGTAAAATATTGTATCTGAATATAACTGCATAAAATATGAGGCATAACACCCTGAGGCTTTAGTGGAAATATGCCAAAACACTAATAAACTTTGAATTAAGTTAGACCCAGTAGAATGAAGAACTAATAGAGAGTGTTTTCTCTGTGCCAAGAACTGTTCTAGGAGATTGAGAAGAAATGGATCATGTAAGTCATTGCAGCACTTTTCT